TGACCACAGAGACCTTCATGTCAGCTGAGAAGTGGTGGCTGGTGCTGAAGCAGGCAAGTGGAGCTTGAAAGCCTCTTTTCTGTCTGCTGAGATAGTCAGGAGCTCCTCTATTTATGGGGTGAGGAGGTCTGCGCCGTGGCTTGCGTAGTGGAATTTCCCCCAGAGAAGAGGCTGCTCATGGTGGAATCTCGTGATGGAACGGAGCAGCAGCCCCAGCCCCGGAAGCGTGAAACTGCCCCCTCGATTCAGTGCCTCTCCAGTGACACAGGATATGAAACACTCATCGATGCTATTTCTGCTTCTTTCGTGCATGCCCCTTAGTAAGAAGTTCCCCCGTGGAGGTTCCTGTATTTGTCAACAGGCCCCTGTTACCCAACCTGCCCCAGCAGCTTGGAGGTGAGAGTGCGTCCTTGCAAGAGCCATGCAAATGGGCTGAAGACCATGGACAGGGTCATAGAATCATAGACTACTGAGTTGAAAAGGACCTCAAGGATCATCTAGTCCAACCCTGTAAAGTAAAGAAATACAGTTTAAATGATGCAGCCCAGCACCTTGTCAAGCTGAGCCTTAAAACTGTCCAAAGGATGAGGCAGGACAGGGAAAAGGGAGCTGAGATCTCCTCTGTCATAGACTTCACATCTGCCCAGCCCATGTTGCCCCAGTGGCAGGAGACAGGAGATGTCACTCTGTGTCCTGCACATGCTTCATGTAGTTTGAGGGGACTCGGGGCATGTCCTGCAGGCACCTGCACAGGTGGTGCTGGGCATGAAAAAGAGCTGCAGAAGCTGAAGCACTTGGGTTTCCTCCTGAGTTGAAGGGAGAGAGTTGAGATGGGATGATATCTCCTGGAGGTCCCTGCCACACTCCATGTCCTATAAGGAGACTCTAAATGACCAATTCAGATTGAACAGTTAAATTTCAAGGGCTATGGATAGGTGAGGTTGCTCTCTGAGGGCTGGGCAAGGGCTGTGACAAGGGATGGTCCACTGGGAAGAAGCTGCTACACACAGAGCCTTGGGGCTCTACCAAACTCCTCTTTGTCCCAGAGGAGGAGAGGGAAGACCTGGCAGGGAGGTGACGGATGCTCTGGGAAGAGCTGAGGTCCATCCAGCTGTAATGAGATGTTCCTAGGACATCTGTTTTCAACAGGGAGGCAGACACATTTCTGGAAATTGTCTCCATTTTGTTATTTTCAAGGTACTGCTGAGCGGTGATGTCTTGACGGATACTGCCTATAAGTCAGTGGAAGAACTATAACGTAAAGCGGAGCAACCCAACCGCACCGCCAGTACCTCTGCACCCTCACCGCAGTGCTGAGCACTGACTCATTGTGTTTCTATTAAAGGCTCTCTATTATTGACGCAGACACCTTCTGTAAATGACCTGGTGTTTCCCAAAATATCATTCCAACACCATGTGGTGCGCACAGCCCCCAACCTGCCATGGCTGGTGGGAGGGGAGGCAGGTCAGCCCACGGCAGGTTAGTTCCGTGCAGGTTAACTCCTCTGCTCCGTGCAGGCAGAGAAGGGCCTGAAGGACAACACAGTCCTGGACTTGCACAGGAGAAGTCCCAGAGGTGGTTCACCCTCAAGAAAGCTCCTGATGGGAGTTGTGGTGCTGTACCTGCCCCTTGCCTTGACTGAGGAGGGCAGACTTACCCCGTGGGGCAAAGGTGGCTCTTGCCATGCTGAGCATCACCTCCTTCCTGGTCGCACCATGGCCAGTCCAGTCCCATCTGCATCCTTCCCTTTGCCATTTGCAGAAAGAGGCACCTCACCAGCTTGCTCTTTGGTTCAGACCTCAATCCCCCTCTTCCGCTTGTCAGCTTGCTTGTCCCCAGCTATCCTGCGAGGATGAGGAGAGAGCCTGCCTCCGCAGGCAGGACAGGACAGGCAGCCAGGCAGGAGGTGGGAGCCAGCTGGACCAGAAAACGACTCTGAGCTAGCGGTGGCTCACTTGGCTCCACTGTCAGGTTGTTCAGGGAATAGAACTTGTAGATGTATGTAAGAGCGTGATTTGCCTCTGAGCTGTTCCCTGTGATTGTACCTTCAGGCATTCATGGGTCACGTCTTGAGATCTGCCACCTACAGCCTTCTGGTCCCGTCCCTCTCCCAAGGCACATGATGTGGGTAGGGCAGGCAGGAGAAATTCCATTTATGGTGCAGAAATGTTTGGAGAAAAATCAAGGTTCATTAGAACAGGAGAATTACTTGGAAATCTGCATTAATTATGCAAATGTTCTCAATGGTATCCTTCTCCATTTCAGGCAGCTGAAAGCCTCCATGCCTTCATGCCTTTGTCAGCAAGCAGATGATGATTTTTTTTTGGACTCTCAGAGAGCATTTTTTAATGAATCAAAAAAAAATTTCCTTAGTTTAGCTGAGTCAGTGTAGGATCAGTTTAGCCCGGTGCATTTTTTAATGAATCAAAAAAAATTTTCTTAGATTAGCTGAGTCAATGTAGGATCAGTTTAGCCCAGCTAATGTGCCTTATAGGGCTGAAACTTTTCTACTGCTGAAAGCTGAAATAACTCTAAAATCAGGGTGTTTGTTTTGTCTCACTTTTCCTTAGAAACCTGACCAAAGTTCCCCCTTTGCCAGCTCTTTGCAGGCTTGCTAGAAGTGGAAGGCTATAGTCATATCAACAGTGCCCCGGGTGTTGCAACATGCTCCTAAAAAATGTTTCCTCACCCACTTTCCCGCGTTACAGTCATGATGAAATGAGAAAATAATTTCTTCCAGCTCTCCCCCCTGTCAGAATGAGAGGAAGCTACTCCTCTTGGGTGAAGGACCATCTGACCTGGGAGCTGTTCTCTGATGGACAGACGGCTGTGGAAGAGCCACCAAAGCAGACCAGAGCATCTCAGGGGTGATCAGGTTCATAGCACAGCAGGGAGGTGATTTAAGGTGGAAGTTTTCCCACCGTGGCTCCAGGTGGGTTCAGGATCCCTAACTCAGCCCGTGGTGTCCCTTTGCCCCTGCAGCCGGTGCACAGTGCTTGGAGTCAGCAGGACAGGCTGTCTGAAGCAATCTGGCTGATGTTGCACCAATTTACATAGAGGGATACCATAAATGTTTTCTGCAAGTCCCCAAAAAATCCCGGGAGAAAGTGCTAAATAAAGCAAAAGCCCAAAACAAATTCGGTGCTAGCAGAAATAGGGAAATTCTCAATCTTGAATGAAAGGGGAACCCTCAAAAATATGTTGAGAGTGGCTGATGTAAGTTGCTATTTATAGCAGATTTTCACGCTGAGGAGTCAGGATCTGCTCAGAAAAAGGAGAACTTTTAAAATGTCCTAGTTTAGAAGTTGCCTCTGGGACAAGCTCTGCTTCTACCTGCAGCACTCCCCGTCCTGCCCTCTCAGAACTCAGGCACCAGTGGATTTCTATCAGTGTCCACGAATTTCGCCCCCACCATTCTTGACATTTCTGGAGAAATGCTGGAATTTCTGAGATGATGTCATGTCCTGGAACAGGCTCCCATGGGAACACGTGCCTGTGAGAGTGACTGGGAACCATCCCAGGTCAAAGGGAGACCATGGCCAGCCTGGCCTGTGAGCGAGCACCGACCACCCCGGCACGCTGCACAAGAGACCCCTTCACATCTCCCCAAAACCGTGTCACGTCAGGACAATGTTTTATAGCTGATAAGAAAAATGTATCTCATCAAAGGTTCAATCTTCCTCCAGCAAGGGCATTTTCCGAGAAAAAAACACCCCTGGCAATACTATCTCTCTCTGATGGCTGATGGCTGAAATTTTTACTGGCATTTCTTTTGAAGCAAAATAAACCAAAGAGGATTAAGTGTACAGCATTTTAAAGCAAAATTAAAGTGAAATAAAAAAGCCTCCTTGCTTCACACCCTTCTCCATCCCTGGTATGAAAGGAAAAGAAAGGAATAGGGAAAACTTGTGTTTTAGCAATTTTTGAGCCTTAGGGAAGCAGCCGTGGGGCTGTGCTCATGGCTCACCTCGACTGCCAGGTCCAGGGACTGGGGGACACCCGACCCGCACCCCTCAGCTCCCTTCAAACCCTGCAAATGCCTGGGATGGTTTGACACAGATGAAATGTCTCTGCTGGGGCTGCATCTGCTGCCACAGAGGACAGCCCACCCCTCCCATGCCTTCGGCGTGTCCTCAAGGAAGAACAAGGGAGACCAGGCTGAAAACTGAGAGCTCTGCTGTGAAGAACCCCTACATCAGTATGTAGATGAACCCACTGGGCCTTGTGTGCTCATCACAATCAAGCGAAAAAGAAAAAGAAAAAGAAGTAAGACACAAAGTGATTGTTTTCATTTTCGTTAGTGCTTCTGGAGTCCAGATCTTTGGGACTTTCTGAAGACCCCGTGTCCAGCAGCACCAGCTTGGTCCCTCTCTTTGTGGCGCGTTGGCAGGGATGTGTCAGCTGTCGGCTCCTCTCCAGCGCTGATGGAGGGTTGGAAACCCCATGGGTGGTGTGACCTCTGCTCCCACGGTGAGGTGTGACCTTTCCAGCTGTGGTGGTAACACACGGAGATTGGCAACCGAGCTCGGATCTTTGCTAGCTTCACAACTTATTTTGGGCTCACTGCAAGGCTGCAAACCACTTCCCACGTGCAGGGGATGTTTGTAGGTCAGGGCGCTCTGCAGCGTCTCTCTGAAGCGCAGGTCCCATCCTGCTCCCCGTGATGCTGAGGCTTTGGCCACACCAGATGGGCTTTGCGTCCTTCAAAAGGGCCATTGTCTGGCCGCTCCGGCCAGCAAGGGCTCTGCCTGGCACCCACATCCCTTGGGGGAGCGGGGAGGGCCTGGGAAGCTCTGGCATGGCTCACTGGCCAGCATCCCATGGCCCCGCAGCCTCCCCATGTGGCCTCCTGCATCCCTCAGGAACTGTGCAAGAGGGATTTGCTGGGCAGCTGGGCTTGGTCAGGGATCGCCTTTGCAATCAAATGGCTGGTAGGTGTGGCAGGGATGGGATAAGATCCCTTTATGTCCTTCTGATGGTGCTAGGGTGCCAGGGCTGGGATGGTGCAGCCACCCACAGGTGAGCTGTACCACTAAAGGAAGGCAGATGAGGCTTTCCCATCAGCCTAGGGATGTGAGGAAAGTACCTGGCATCCCTCTGCCCTGGGGGAATGTCCTTTGTGATCTGTGGCTCTTGGCGACGGCAGGATTTCAGGCAGAAAAGCCCTTGGGAGGATCTTTGTCACCATCTTTTTCAGGGAATGAAGAATCAGTAGCCACTGTAACATCCTTTCCTACAACCTTCCTCCCTGAATAATTTTACCTTTCTTTTCCTACCCTGCCTGCACCCAAGCAAGTCTCATGCCCCGGTCTGTGTGAGACTGAAATGAGAAGAAATGGCTTGTTTCCCAGAGCAAGAACAGAAGCTGGAGAGAGGTCAGCTTAGAAGTACTTAAACTGCAGGAGCTGTGACAGCGGAGAGCTCTGAAGCCTGGAAGAGAAATGAAAACCAGTGTACGGAATGAAAGCAGAAGCTAGCCAGGGAGGCCAGCGCA